AGATAAGTTTGTCTAAAATCATTGAACCACGACCAAATTCAAACTTAAACTGCTTATTCCTAAGATGTATCTATATTATTTTTAAAGTGAAAGGGACATAACTCTGCCAAAAAATCATCAAACCATGACCAAATTCCAACCTGACCTGCCCATTCCTTTGACATATCCATATGTCAAATTTAAGTTGAATATGTAACACTGTTGGGTAGATAATGAACAGAAACTGTAAATTTCATATTATTTTCAAAGTGAAAGGGGCATTACTCTGCCAAAAATCATTGAACCATGACCAAATTGGAACTTGGCCTGGGCATTCCAAAAACATATCCATATGTCAAATTTGAGTTGAATGTGTTGTACCATTGGGGAGATAATAAACGGAAACTGAAAATTTCATATTACTTTCAAAGTGAAAGGGGCATAACTCTGCCAAAAATCATTGAACCATGACCAAATTCGAACTTGACCTGTATTTTCTCATGACATATCCATATGTCAAGTTTGAGTTGAATGTGTTGTACCGTTGGGGAGATAATGAACGGAAACTGAAATTTCACATTATTTTCAAAGTAAAAGGGGCATAACTCTGCCAAAAATCATCGAACCATGACCAAATTCGAACTTGACCTGTATTTTCTCATGACATATCCATATGTCAAGTTTGAGTTGAATGTGTTGTACCGTTGGGGAGATAATGAACGGAAACTGAAATTTCACATTATTTTCAAAGTAAAAGGGGCATAACTCTGCCAAAAATCATCGAACCATGACCAAATTCGAACTTGACCTGTATTTTCTCATGACATATCCATATGTCAAATTTGAGTTGAATGTGTGCAACCGTTCTTAAGATAATGAACGGAAACTGATGATGACGGAATGACAGAATGACGGAAGGACGGAAGGATGGAATGACGGAACAGGGTAACACTATATGCCCCGGCCATTACATGGCGGGGGCATAAAAATACATAGTATAAAAATAAAAAAACATTTAACTTTTACATCAGATACTTCTTTAAAAATACCATATGAAATAAAACAAAATGTACAGTTCTGATTGATCTATGAAATACATTATGGTAAGAACATTCTAGTATCAAAGGTACATATTGCATTACTTTTGTTATAGAGGTAAAACCCCCTTCTTGTTTGTAACAGAGATGTGTAGATCATCATGTGACAGTAATGCAGACATGAACGTGCATCAGTTATCAAAGAACAGAAAAATGTTTCTTGCATATCAGACTGGCGTTTCCGTGAGTTTTACCCATGCCGGAAATTTCATCTGGCATGGGGGGTTCCAGATGAGTCGCGTGCTGTACAATGGCACGGTTAGGATGACGTCATTTTACCGTTACATATTATAAGGTTGTAATTCATACGCTGTTGCAAGGAAAGTAGTTACGGTTGTAATGATATAAATTTTCATTGAAAATAAAGATAACGAATTTAATATATAATTGAATACATGTATGGTAGAATATGCAAGAAAAAAATATCTGACATATGTTTGCGGTTCGGATCGGAATATCGCAAAGAAACGTTTAAAAAGACATTTTAAGTTAGTACTAAACGAAAAGGGCGCTAAATAATAATACAACGTGACGTCATTTAGGACGTCACGTCATTAAGTTGGTTTCCAGTACTGTGAACGCTTGTATTTCACTGAAACAACGTACTGGGCTTAAATATTCAAAACAGTGAAATTATCAAATTGATAATTTCACTGTTTCAAACAGTGAAATTACCAGTTTTTAACTCACTGATATATTTCTATAAACCACCGAAAAGCATGTAATAAATATTATTATTCTTTTTTTTCCCAAAAATTGGAGGAATTAAAAAAAATTCATTTTTTAAATAAAAGACATCATGCGCTATTTTCATTTGCTTTATGCGTATAAAAACATAAGACGAAGAGGTCACTCTAGACATGCAGAACTCATTGTGAAGTCTAACATCATTGTGAAGTCTAACATTAATAAGAGTTGATGATGTATAGGTATATTGACAAAAGGTCACTTGGGAGGTTCTCATAGTCACTTAACATCTTGTTTTTCAATACTTTGACTACACATACAAAATAAATAAAAAAACGTTATATATATATACATGCTGGCATAACTACAAAAAGAGCATTTCACTAACAAACCAGAGTTTATGACTAAACAAACAAAACAACTGCTTCCAAAAACAAGTAATACAGTAAAATCAGAAAACAAGAGGGCCATGATTGCCCTGAAATCGCTCACCTGTATATAGCCCCCGGGGCAGGGCCAATTTTAACCATGGGGCTTTTATTTGATCAAACTTGGTAGACACCCATTAGACGATGTGTCATGATAAATATCTAAGCTGTAGCTCTTTGGGGTTTTTAAAAGAAATGTTTTTAAGTTTTTACTATACACATATAGGAAAAAAAAATGACCCCCTAGCGGGGCCAATTTTGACCCCAGGGTTTTTATTTGAACAAACTTAGTAGCATTCCTTAGAAGATATTTCATGCTTACTATCTTAACTTTAGCTCCTTGGGTTTTTTAAAAGAAGATTTTTGAAGTTTTTACTATACAAATATAAGGAAAATCAATGACCCCCGGCGGGGCCAATTTTAAACCCAGGGCCCTTATTTGAAGAAACATGGTAGACACCCATTAGAAGATGTTTCATCCTAAATATCTTAGCTCTAGCTCTAAGGGTTTTTTAAAAGAAGATTTTTGAAGTTTTATAAGTTTTTATTAAATAAAAATAAGGAAAATCAATGACCCCTAGGGCAAGGCCAATTTTGACCCCAGGGCTTTTATTTAAAAAAAAAACTTGGTAGACACTTACCAGACAATGTTTCATGCCTAATAATTTAGCTCTAGCTCTTTAGGTTTTTTTAAAAGAAGATTTTTTAACTTTTTTGCTACATGGAATTAAATTCTTTGAACAATTTTCAAAGTTCACTTCCAAAGAAACATTCCTGTGAAGTTTGGATGAAATTAGCTTAGCAGTTTATGAGGAGATGTCGTTTACAGTAAAAGTTTATGGACGGACGCCAGACAAAAAGCGATAACAAAAACTCACCATGTCACTTTGTGACAGGTGAGCTAAAAATGTGATGCATATATATGAACAAAATATCCCTGCAACTAGTTTATAAAAATACAATCTTTACTCAATGTTGAAAATGAGCACTTTCATTTTAAATGAAATCAAAGACTTTCAAAAGTTAAAAACAATTATGGTATGAAAATGAAATGGTATCACTATTTCTCAAAGCTTATATAACTTGCATTCTTGACAGATAGGACTTCAGGCTTTGACCTTCATGTTACAGGTACTGTAAGACCTTCAGTAAGACTTTTTCCATCATTCATACATTAATATATATAAATTTTCAAAATAAACTAACACTGATACATGAGCAATATCATATAACTAGAGGATGAGTGCATTATTTTAATAGAGTTGAAAAACAAGATGGCCATGATGGCCCTAGATTGCTCACCTGACCCATCGAAATAATCCGTACAATTACCTAGACAAGCATTCTGACGGGTGAGTCAAAAATGTGACCACTAGAGTGTTAACAAGGATTATCCATATTTGAGCAGTGTGACCTAGTTTTTACCCAGGTGACCCATATTCGAACTGTACCTAGAAATCATCAAAACAAATTTTCAGACCAATTTACAGGATACTTGGATCAAAACAGTTGCCACTAGAGTGTTTACAAGATTTTTCTATTTTTTGCTTCGGTGACTTAGTTTTTTCATCCGAGACGACCCATGTTAAATCATTCGAGCAATTACCTAGACAAGCATCCTGATCAAGTTTGATGACACTTAAGGCAAAAATGTGACCGCTAGAGTTTTAACAAGGTTTTTCTATTTTTAGCTCCGGTGACCTTGTTTTTTATCCAAGATGACCCATGTTCGAACTCATTTGAGCTATCACCTAGACAAGCATCCTGACCAAGTTTGATGATGATTGAGGCAAAAATGTGACAGCTAGAGTGTTAACAAGGTTTTTCTATTTTCAGCTCCTGTGACCTAGTTTTTCATCCGAGATGGCCCATATTCAAACTCATCCAAGCTATCAAGTAGATAAGCATCCTGACAAAGTTTGATTATATTGAGGCAAAAATGTGACCACTGGAGTGTTAACGAACAAGTGTGAACGGACGACAGACATTCAATGACCCTAAAAGCTTACCCTGAACTAGCTCAGGTGAGCTAAATATATAAATTCCTTATATTTCAAATGCAAAAAGGTTAGGAATTACAAATTCTCTAGACAATTATGCCATTTAACTCTACTTCATGATTCTCTGTTCTTAATTCAAACCCAAGAATATAAAATTCATGTGCAAGCTCTTATACACTCAGATCACTCATTTAGCCGCAACTGCAGATGAATAAGCATATGTATCAATCACATCAGAAACAAGAGCACCGCTAGGCGGAGCATTATATGCCCGAAAGTGTTTTGTTTCTTTCGTAAGGATGAAGAATTTGTAAGACATGGGAATTAAATAAAGTATTACCTCGAGTTATGCTCCGGAAACTGTTTTCAGTTTTAAGGTAATAGTGACCTTGAACTTTGACCTTGTGACCCCAAAATCAATAGGGGTGTTTTACCCAATATAGACAATAATCCCATGAAGTTTGAACACTGTGGGCCAAATGGAATTTAAGTTAGGGTATGGAAACTGTTTTCAGTTTTAAAGGAATAATGACTTTGACCTTGTGACCCCAAAATCAATAGGGGTCTTCTACCCAATATGGAGAATCATCCTATGAAGTTTGAACACTATGGGCCAAATGGAACTTAAGTTATGTTCTGGAAACTGTTTTCAGTTTTAAGGTAATAGTGACCTTGACCTTTGATCTTGTGACCACAAAATCAATAGGGGTCTTCTACCCAATATGGACAATCATACTATGAAGTTGGAACACTGTGGGCCAAATGGAACTTAAGTTATGCTCGGGGAAACTGTTTTCAGTTATACCTTTGACCTTGTGACTCCTAAATCAATAGGGGTCTGCTACCCAATATGGACAATCATCCTATGAAGTTTGAACACTCTGGGCCAAATTGAACTAATGTTATGCTCCGGAAATTGTTTTCAGTTTTAAGGTAATAGTGACCTTGACCTTTGACCTTGTGACCCCAAAATCAATAGGGGTCTTCAACCCAATATGGATAATCAACCTATGAAGTTTGAATATTGTGGGCCAAATGGAACTTAAGTTATGCTCTGGAAACCAAATTGCTAATGGAAGGAACGGACGGACGGACGTACGGACGGACGCCAGGGGGTATAACATAATATGCTCGAAATTCTTTCGGGCATATAAAAAGCATCTGCATGAAAACAGATCAGAAAATCTTTTACATAATCCAGATCAAAAAGCTGCCTATGTCTGCTGCTGCAAAGTTTGTTTCTTGCGGAAGATTTTGTTCATTGTCTCAACAGTATCTGTCAATAAATCATTAAATATTGTTTCAGTTAGTTGCATTTTCACTGCTAATTCATCGTCATCATAATTAGCCCACACAGGCTCTTTTTCGGGCAATTCTTGCACCAAAATTGAGTCAACAAGATCCTTCTTTTTACAAATACCCCCATTTAGTCTTTCCAACGATTTTTTGGCCCCATTTAAACCTAATATGTCAATAACTGCTAACTGAACCAGGGGTTTTAACACATCTATGTTGGTCGAAGGGGAAGCACCTCTATAAAACTTGTTAGTTTTGGTTTGTGCCAAGCAACGGGAGAATCATATTCTTCCTCTTTATAAATGTTTCTAATAAGTTTCCATATAAACCAAACATTAGTTTCTTGAACATACGTCTACTGTTACTTATCAAATCTGAGCAAATCTCTTCATGTGTATAAAATGCTTCTGAAAGGTGGAGATCGGTAAATGGCTTGTTATACTGTCTTTGTTCCTAGAATTCATCTACGGCACTGGAAACTATAGAGACTATTTCTTTCTCCTCAAGGGGCACAGCATAAAACACCTCCTCTGCAATTATCTTCATATCAGATCTTGAAATGTTTATTTGATCTAAAAGATTAAAAGCAATTTAAAGCATGGTCAAAGAAATGTAGGAAACAAGAAACAGCTGTCAATGAAAAGTAACTTATGCCTACAAAAGGAAGTTTTGACAATTGTGTTAAAAGATTTAAGTGGAAAATCAAACTATGCACAACTAGGCATGGTGACAAACAATTCTGCAAAGTTTCACTGAAATCCACCCAGCGGTTTTGGTGAGAAAAGCCTGGACAAGCTTATTTTACTTGCAAATTGACCATTAGGGGGCCATAACTGTGCAAAAAAATAAAGAGAGTATGCAAAACTAGGATTGGTAACTAACAATCCTGTGAAGTTTCACTGAAATCCCCCAAAACTTGACCTAATAAAACAGTCGGCAATAACACAGTAATAAACATGCACTATCATAGTCTGTTAGATTCTAATGTCACATTTTTTTCTATTTCTGCTCCACAATAAAAAACTGTGATTAAATGGTTGTTCTCATGAAGCTGGCTAAATTTAAATTTAAACAACAAATTTCAATATCAATAAAACTGACCCAACTTAAGCTACAGTAGCTAAATAGCTTTCCAACATGAAAGGGCTATAAGGTCTTGTTCGGATTTGAACCATTGCAATAAGATGCAAATGATTCAAAGTTAGTGACCGCAACTGTTTGACCACAGAGGCCTCTTCTAAATTTCAGCCATTTCATGTATTTGTAGTGGATAAATTGGTTACAATATTTTGCTAATAGCATTTAAAAGTTCTAAGCATAGAATAATTCATCAAAGATCTTAAGTTATAATAATTAAGCTACTAGTATTAGGTTTGGAATGAATAACAAGAGGACCATGATGGCCCTGAAGTCGCTCACCTGTATATAGTCCCCCCCAGGGCCAATTTTTACCCAAGGGCTTTTATTTGTTTATTGAACAGACTTGGTAGACACCCATAAGAAGATGTAAACATCTAAGTTCTAGCTCATTAGGTTTTTTAAAAGAAGATTTTTTAAGTTTTTACTATACACATATAGTTAAAAACAATGACACCCCTGGGGCAGGGCCAGTTTTGACCCCCGGGCTTTTATTTGAACAAACTTTGTAGATATTTACTTAAAGATGTTTCATGCTTAATATCTAAACTCTAGCTATTTGGGTTTTTTCAAAGAAGATTTTTAAGTTTTTGCTATACCCATATAAGGAAAATCAATGACCCCTGGGGCGGGGCCAGTTTTGACCCCAGGGCTTTTATTTGAACATACTTGGTAGACACCCATTAGAACATGTTTCATGCCAAATATCTAAGCTCTAGCTCTTACGGTTCTTTAAAAGAAGATTTTTTAAGTTTTTACTATATGCATATTGGGAAAATCAATGACCCCCGGGGCGGGGCCAATTTTGACCCCAAGGCTTTTATTTGAACAAACTTGGTAGACACTCACTAGAAGATGTTTCATGCCAAATATCTTAGCTCTAGCTCTTTGGGTTCTTTAATAGAAGATTTTTTAAGTTTTTACTATATGCATATAGGGAAAATCTATGACCCCCTGGGGCATGGCCAATTTTAACCTCAGGGCTTTTATTTGAACAAACTTGGTAGACACTCATTAGAAGATGTTTCATGCCAAATATCTTAGCTCTAGCTCTTTGGGTTCTTTAAAAGAAGTTTTTTTAAGTTTTACTATATGCATATAGGGAAAATCAATGACCCCCTGGGGCAGGGCCAATTTTGACCCCAGGGCTTTTATTTGAACAAACTTGGTAGACATTCATTAGAAGATGTTTCATGCCAAATATCTAAGCTCTAGCTCTTACAGTTCTTTAAAAGAAGATTTTTTAAGTTTTTACTATATGCATATAGGGAAAATCAATGACCCCCCCGGGGCGGGGCCAATTTTGACCCCAGGGCTTTTATTTGAACAAACTTGGTAGACACTCACTAGAAGATGTTTCATGCCAAATATCTTAGCTCTAGCTCTTTGGGTTCTTTAAAAGAAGAGTTTTTAAGTTTTTACTATATGCATATAGGGAAAACCTATGACCCCCTGGGGCAGGGCCAATTTTGACCCCAGGGCTTTTATTTGATCAAACTTGGTAGACACTCATTAGAAGATGTTTCATGCCAAATATCTTAGCTCTAGCTCTTTGGGTTCTTTAAAAGAAGTTTTTTTAAGTTTTTACTATATGCATATAGGGAAAATCAATGACCCCCTGGGGCAGGGCCAATTTTGACCCCAGGGCTTTTATTTGAACAAACTTGGTAGACATTCATTAGAAGATGTTTCATGCCAAATATCTAAGCTCTAGCTCTTACAGTTCTTTAAAAGAAGATTTTTTAAGTTTTTACTATATGCATATAGGGAAAATCAATGACCCCCCCGGGGCGGGGCCAATTTTGACCCCAGGGCTTTTATTTGAACAAACTTGGTAGACACTCACTAGAAGATGTTTCATGCCAAATATCTTAGCTCTAGCTCTTTGGGTTCTTTAAAAGAAGAGTTTTTAAGTTTTTACTATATGCATATAGGGAAAACCTATGACGCCCTGGGGCAGGGCCAATTTTGACCCCAGGGCTTTTATTTGATCAAACTTGGTAGACACTCACTAGAAGATGTTTCATGCCAAATATCTTAGCTCTAGCTCTTTGGGTTCTCTTTAAAAGAAGACTTTTTAAGTTTTAACTATATGCATATAGGAAAAATCAATGACCCCCTGGGGCGGGGCCAATTTTGACCCCAGGGCTTTTATTTCAACAAACTTGGTTGACACTCATTAGAAGATGTTTCATGCCAAATATCTAAGCTCTAGCTCTTAGGGTTGTTTAAAAGAAGATATTTAAAGATTTTTCTTTCGGTTGCCATGGCAACCAGAGTTCTGCATGGAATTAAATTCTTTGAACAATTTTTAAAGGTGACCACCAAAGGAACATTCCTGTGAAGTTTGGATGAAATTGGCTCAGTGGTTTATGAGGAGATGTCATTTAAAGCAAAAGTTTACGGACGGATGACGGACGACGGACGGACAAAAAGCGATCACAAAAGCTCACCCTGTCACTTTGTGACAGGTGAGCTAAAAACTGTATATACCATATGCTCTGAGGAGAGCAAGGGCCGCCCCCTGCCGCACTGACGGTATATTTTCTTGTAGATTGTTGAAAAATCATGGATACAATGCTGGTATAGATGACCTGAAAAATACAGTTGATCTATGTTAGATTTTATATTTAGAAAATATCAATTATGATTGTATTGTTGCATAAAAATGCACCATAGAGTTCAAATACGCAGGAATACAATCACAAAGGCCAGAAAAACCTTAGTGATTAATTACAAAGCATTTGAACAATAAACAGTGCATTATTATATTTATCACATAGCTGTGCTGCTTTTGCGGCTCTGTAAATATGGTAATGCACAGGTCGTGTATATATTTTGATGTGTTATCATTTGCTTTATACAATCATAGCCAAAGCAAAAAAAAAAGATGCAGGAAATGTCAGTGTTACACTTAAAAGTGCATCAATGAAAAAGTGCTTTCTTTTCACTGTTAACATTTCTTATTTTGGATATGTGATAAAAAGAATATTAGATTTGTGTAGCTTCATTACTAAAATAAATGAACAAGTTAAAACCAGAATAAAATAATTTGAGCCGTGTCATGTCAAAACCAACATATGAGCTTAATGTTATAAACTGCTGCTATAAACATAATCAGAAGGACAGTCAAACAGGGAAATCATATCGTAAATATCAATGCTAGAGTTATGGGTCGTGGCCATCAAAGTTGTGGAGACAGGCCTTTAATATGAAAAACCTGAACCATGAATTTTCTCTAGAGTTTGAGGTGGGGTATAATTCTGTGAGAAAAAAAAATGTCCTGCGATACTTATTGGGCTAAGATATCATATGCAATTATTACCCTAAAAATAAGTGTCAAGTTTCATGCAAATACCCACAGGAAAATTCTTTGCAAGGACTCTGATTATTCATAACTAAGGTATGTCTTACACATTTTACCATCTCTAACTGTCCAGCTGTCATCACTTAAACAGATTAGAAGAGCCTCTAACAACATTGGAACATACATGTCCACAACATCTTTGTTCACCTATAAATACAAATATATATTATGTAGGTAAATTTTTCAACATAACTTGAAAGTTTAAAAAAAATATATAATGTAACAATGATATTTGTTATCATATGCTTGGAGTTAATTTAAGTAGCAATTTCACCACAAAAATTAAATTATTTAATACCAGAACAGACCTTTATATATGTCGAGCCGGTTATAATTGGCCAGATTGCACAGATGAACTGACTGGCAAAATATTACATGTTCACACTGTAAAACTTGGATTTTAATTTTAAATTTTCTTTTCCCCAAAATTTGGGTTATAAACTTAAAAAGGGTTTTTTTATTTTCTAACTTTTAGACCCGATGGGTTTTATTCACGGAATGGACATTTAAACAAAAAAATTTTTATCAACAGTTTCCCAACCTTGCATATATTATAAACACACAAAACTTTAAATGCCAAAAAAAATTTAAAAAAAATTTTAATTTAATAAAGAAATGTTCTATTAACCCTGGGATACCCCCTTTAAAACCCAAAAAAGCTTTTTTAAAAATGACAACAAGTACTGATTTCAGCTTTTAAAGGGTATTTTTTTTCTTTTTTTACTACAGATTTTCCTCAGCCCACACGAAATATTTCTTTTTTATAAACCATCCCTAATTTTCAGTTCTGTCAATCCTTAATAAGGTCTAAAACATATAATTATAATAAATTCTCTATCTGCGGTCAAATTGTGTTGTCTATTTTGAATGAACTACTGTGAATACAAGGGAGGTAATTGTACTTTGACAATAAAGAAAACAACGTAGACTATTCTCCCCACAGATCATGGTACTGGACAGGACGATAAAAAAACAATAAACTAACCTTATATGTTTCCTTGTTTGACTGTTAAAGATCCTGTATGTAACTCTATATGTTAGAATTTATAGAAACTAAATTTCTAATTACCTCCCTTTATTTACATGAGATGGTAAATTGGGTAATATAAATAAAAAATGCTTATTGGAAGTTACAATATTGACAAATCTTAATTTGAGCATCATGTTTACTACATAAAACCATGAAAAAATTGTGTTACAGGATCTTTAACTCTATTTGTCAAATATTTGCCTCTTTAACATGATGCGAATAATATAAATCTATATGTAATTATTTATGTTAGCTTTTACATTGCACCAATGCTTTAAAAGTTACATGGCGACTTTCCAGCTTTTCTGGTTTAGAAAGATATCAGGTGCCACTCAGTGTATTATTTTAGGCACAAAAGGGAACCTCAGTAGAACCACCAAGGTTCCATAATAGCCATGGATAGCTTCCTCACATGAAAGACTTCAAAAGTTGTGATGGGATTCAAACCCATAACAAGAGGGACAAGTTAAATGTAGTCAACATCCTTAACCACTCAGCCACAGGTGCCCCTTTAATTAGGGCAAAATAAAAAATTCAGTTTGGCCTCATTTTTCAAAATAGCCCAAACTTATTTTGCAGTCATTGCTGTTTCACCTTCCTTTTTATGTATTGGCTGAATAGTACTCACTGCAATAGGTCCATCTACCATTATATCATGAAATAATTTTTTTTTACAAACACAAACAGATGTTTCTGACGCACACACACAATTTTAACGAATACCAGAATTTTTTTTATTTAGAAATAATGTTATTATTTTTCATGTTATGAAAAATGGATACTGTCTACCAGACATTGTGTTTTACATGTTTAAAGACACAGCTTTACTGCTGGAAGAATTCCTCAAGTGCCCAATTGTGAAATTATTTCAGGCATGAGTTGGCCATGAGACGGACACTTGGCATAACCTACATTCAGTCAGGATTTGAGCCTACACTGGTATAAGTCAACGGTCAAGTGATATGAAGAGATTAAATCAGAGAGTGATATTTACCTCCAAGTTCTGCAATACACGCACAGGCAGCTTCTCTCACAGCATGGTTGTCTGCCCATATCCCTTCTATATACATGTATAAGTCAACCTTTAAAGTTAAAGTAAATTACATGTATTGACTGAAAGGTAGATAAACAAAAACAATACATCAACAGTGATTTTCATGCTTTTTTAACAGGATTCCGATAAAAGGCCTCTTCCCAATTGAAATTTTCTTTAAAATCTTTAACCTGCTTATTTACTTCCCAAATTAGCAATTGTAGTGATAATTCTTCCGAAAATCAAGAGGTCAAGGCCTCTTCCCAATTAAGTGATCACACACACTCTGTCTTCTAAACCAATGTTGAACAGGTGTCACAGGACAATGTAAGTACATGTATATCAAGAATAATACATACTACATTGTATAGTGATGATACATCAAGGCATAAAAATTGTAAAGATTAAACAATATTTATTTTTATTTCAGATTTTATAAACTATTTCTAATATTTCTATTATCATTGACATCCAGACAGTGTGCTAAGGGACATGAGAGATGTTTAACTTTCTATTATCTCTCTTGAACAAATTTACTTGTAATAAATTCAAATCTGCAATTTTTAACTTTTTGTTTCTGTTGTACCCGAGGGATATCTCCCTTCCAAAAATTATTTTTAATAAAGGAGTAAATGGAGTGACACATGCAATAATAGACAAATATGTTGTGAGACAGGAAATGCAATTATCCATTCTAGTTCTATATTTGTAATGTAAATTTATCTTCTTGGAATCTGAAGCTGCCCATCGTTAATTTCATGTATACTGTATTATACTGTATAAGTGGTCAATTTTGCAACATGGAAATATATGCTATTTTTGCTAATCAAAATAATTCGCAAATAATCGAGCCGGTAAAAGTGACATCAACTTGAGTAAAGTCATAGATGACCAATGCTGATTCATCATTTTACCATTACACCGGTATTCAGATTACTATGTAAATATATCACGTTAAAAGTGACATCAACTTAAGTAAAAATAATCGAGCCGGTAAGAGTGACATTAAATTTTGAGTAAAGTCATAGATGGCCATTCTGATTCATCATTTTACCATTACACCGGTGTACAGATTACTATGTAAATATATCATGTTAAAAATAACATCTTGTTATATACAAGCAAACATATAACATGATTTAATGTTCATTTAATATTTCATACAAAGAAATAATAATGAAAAAGGTTCATATTGTATTGTCAAACTGAACATTTACAATATTACCAGGAGTTCTGGAAATTGTACTTTCGCAAATATTTCCGCATGCAAAAAGATCTGTTTTTTTTACATTCAAAAACATTTTGTGATGTAAGAATATTCACTTATACAGTATACATTGACAGAAGCTAAGAATATGAAAAAAAATCTTCATTGTTTCACCAATTTTATAACGAAAATTTTAAAGAGCAATAAAACTCTTCAAAAAAATCCTGAAAACTTTTACCCATGCCCTGTAATATTAAATGCAACAAGGGTGAACATTGTCACTAAATATGCCTGTCACAAATGTGGGCAATAAGAAGAGTGGCAAGCAAGTTGGTCCCTATAAATAATTTGTATTTTCATCTGAAATTTTATCTCATATGTATTATGTGTGACCTTGAACTTGATTGCAGGGACTTGAATTTTATGCAGAACACTCAGCCTCACAATGATAAAAATCTGTGCCAAATCATAATATTAAAATCAGTCAATGCATGTAGGATTGTCGGTAGGACAGCAACGCTGGACTTTTCTTAGTGCTTGATAGTAACAAAATCCTTGATAATGTAAAATATTCTAAGTTAACAAAAGGGCAAAACATTTTTCTTTAAATCCATGTTACAGTTATAGGCCTTGAAGAGAGCCCTATTATGCTCTCAATGATGAGTATAAAATTTCAACTTCTTTCAAAGCCAGATGTCAATAGATTATGAAATTATCTGAGGTGGTATGCTAACTAACGTAAATTTTAAGTGGAAAAAAGGGCATTATTTTGCAAAAATGATTGATACAGTTACCTCCTCTTGTCTACAGATTGGGGTAATGATGATGAATAAGTGTGCAAAGCTTCAAAGCCATATGTCAATGGACTTTGAAAATATTTGAGGTATTACAAAAATTTTCACGTAAATTCTAAGATGATAAAGGGGCATAATTTTTGTCAAAATGCTTGATACAGTTACCTCCTTCTGTCTACAGGTTGGGGTAATAATGGTGAACAAGTGTGCAAAGTTTCAAAGCCATTTGTAAATGGACTTCGAAAATATTTGAGGTATTACAAAAACTTTCACGTAAATTTTAAGTCGGAACAGGGGGCATAATTCTGTCAAAATGCTTGATACAGTTATCTCCTCCTGTCTACAGGTTGGAGTCATGATGGTGAACAAGTGTGCAAAGTTTTAAAGCCATATGTCAATGGACTTTAAAAATATTTGAGGTATTACAAAAACTTTAACATAAGTGGTTACGCAGACGCCGACACTCAATTGACTACAATAGCTCTACTTATTCTAATCAAATAGTCGAGCTAAAAAATCTAAATGTGACCTTTGACCTCTATGTGTGAACTTTATTTCAGGGACTTGACTTTTTTTTGCGAAACACTACACCTTACAATGGTCCACATTTGTGCCAAGTTATGTTAAAAAACTCCCTATGAAACTAAACGTTTTCTCCAGACAAGCGTTTTTAAATTAGCTCTAAAAGTGGTCTTGATCTTTGACCTAGTGACCTTGATCATGTGTGGAGCAATATGTTTCCTGGTGGTGAACAGTTTTATAAAGTAAGTTAGAGATATGCTCCAGACAGAATCTGGATATTTCATCATCTTAAGTGACCTTGACCTTCCATATATTGACTTAAATTACATGTATCACAGCTTTAGGCATGATAATGACTATTTGTGTAACAATCCCTCCATAAACGATGTCAAAATGGTCCAAATACACATCATCATATTTTTATCTGAACTCTGACCTCTATGTGTGTCCTTAATATGGCCGCAAGGACCTGAATTTTTGGTGCGACACTACGCCTCATAATGGTTAAAATTTATGCCAAGTTATATTGAATCCTTAAATGCATGCAGAAGTTTTTTTGCGGACAAGCATTTTCCAATGACCTCTAAGTGTGACCTTGACCTAGAGAATTGGTTCATGTGTGTGACATGGGTTCTTATAGTGGTAAACATTTCAATGAAGTTTCATTAAAGTCTCCCTATTTGTGAAGAGATATGCTCCAGACAAAAGTGGATGCCACCCACACTCCATCCCCCTGCTCGCCAGGCGTTCCTATATTATGTCCCGTTTTTTAAACAGGTGTATCAAATTCAGTAATATTGTCTAGTTAAACAGCAAGAAAGAGCAGATTGAGTGTGACTTACCACTTGTCCGATGTACCAGTTGTTTCCCCTGCTCTCCCATCACTTGTTTCCATGTGTCCTGTGAGTAAATACGGGGAGACCTTCAGCTATGTTATATCTGTAACACATTTAAGATCATACCATTTCAGACATTTCTACTGTAGCATTTTATTTCTTGATGTGCACAAAATATTTCAAAATATTTATTCAATTATTATTTATTTACAAATTGTTGGTAACGTAGCGTTTATGCATTTTTTCTGAACATACAAAGAAACAAACATATTGTCATAAAACACCAATGGCCTATAAATCTACTGAATGTAAGAAAGTTGCTTAATAAAACAATTTCCTGAAATGGGACATTTCCGCAATGCGACGAAAACCAGGTTTTCAACTAACAAGTATAGGTGGGACAGCAATCAATAGGTCAACGTGCACTGAAGTTATTGAGTAGAAGCTGTAAATTCTATTGTTAGCAAAGGGCCTCGACCTTGCTCCAAGATATCTTAGTGGCAATCCATAGCTGCCACACCGCAAGTTTAGTGACGAAAGGTCAAAGCAAACTCCAGTTATTATGTGAAAACTGAATACATAAACTTTGATCGCAGAGACCTGGGTAGCAATCCAAAGCTGCCTCTTGATATAAACTACCCATACATCAAGTTTGGTGTCAATTGGACAAAGCTAACTCAAGTTATTGAGCAGAAACTGAATTTCTATTTTTAGTAACAGTGACCTTGACCTTGATCGCAGACACCTGGGTAGCAATCCCAAGCTGTTTCTTGATATAAGCTTTTGATACACCAAGTTTGATGTCAATATGCCAAAGCAAACTTAAGTTATTGAGCAAAAACCATAAGTTGCTGCCCGCCCGACTGCCTGCCTGCCCGCCGACTTCGACATTACAATACAATAACCCGGTTTTCATTGAAAACCTGGTTAAACATGTAGCCCTTCTCTGTTTATAAAGTTTTAAACATGATACAAATGTGGTTTTAAACATAGTAAATTCAGTCATTTTATGTTAATTCTTACACACCTTGTGACCATTCATACATTTTTATATTTCTTAATTCATTTTTATCCTTCTAAACTTTGTTATCTCACCATAAAGTTTATAAACTTATTTGCGTCAATTTGAGGTCAGCTGCTATAAGATAGATGTTGTGACCCTGGCATATATTACAGTATCATACGAGTAATTGCACATGCACAATTTATCTTAACACAATACAAATAGAAATCACCAAATACCTATTACGACACATCCTAGGTAACAAAATGGGGAAAAACTTGTGCCTGGTTTGATCTGATGGTAAACTCTGAAGGAACTTCCTGGTTGCCAGATGATGCAAGTCTTACCTAGTCAAGAAAAAAACAAATCATTTCCATGCCAAATGAAGTGTAACTCTTTTCCTGATAGTTTATCTTTGTAAATTGGAACTATCTAGTACACAATAAACAATTTTCCTGTTAGTTTATCACAGGGACTTGCCCTCCTTATAAATTGGAACTATCTAGTACACAATAAACACTTTTCCTGATAGTTTATCATAGGGACTTGCCCTCCTTTGTAACCCTTTTCCTGATAGTTTGTCACAGGGACTTGCCCTCCTTGGAAATTGGAGCTATCTAGTACACAATAAACAATTTTCCTGATAGTTTGTCACAGAGACTTGCCCTTCTTGGAAATTGGAACTATCTAGTACACAATAAACAATTTTCCTGATAGTTTGTCATAGGGACTTGCACTCCTTGGAAATTGGAGCTATCTAGTACACAATAAACAATTTTCCTGATAGTTTGTCATAGGGACTTGCCCTTCTTGGAAATTGGAACTATCTAGTACACAATAAACAATTTTCCTGTCATGCAGGAATGTGAAAATAAAGCAAAAAATGAGCAAATGTAATGCCAAATTGTGAAAATATGTTGATAAGGCAACATGGTAAGGAAACATACAATATATCTTATAGTATATATTTCAACTTTACTTTTGCACCATTCTTGCATTATTCTGATATTACTAATTGACACGATATACAAAGAGTGGTATAACTGTAAAGATCTAGAAATAATAGAAATAATAAATTGAGCGTCTAACTGTAAGGACTTTGATCATAATGAAATGACGTACAGGCTAGCCTAGATCTATGTTAGCAATGTAAACTAACTAAGTCAATGTGAGCATACAAAGCATCAACACTCATCATGTTCTTTAACCAACATGTATGTTATATGCTGCACAAGATGCTTCAATATAAAAAAATGTGCATGTCAAGTTTTTTCTATAATCGAGAGACTTGAAAATGTAATTTCAAAATGTATTCTGGTGTCTTTGTGCATAGGTCATAATCAAAATGCTTGTTTGCTCTAGCAATGAGTCAAAACAATTTAGCA